TGATGGAGCATCCGTCGTTAAGGCTCGCTGGCTCGGTGGAGGCGATCACGACAAGCGGGCCGGCCGCGGCGAGGAGGCAGTGCGGTGGAGGCGGGCGAGCAGACTGGGCCCGATGGGGAATGCGGTGCGGAGGAGGCAGTGTGGAGGAGGCCACAGGGGATGGGGCACGGCGCTGCGGGGGACCGGCGGCGGTGAGGTGAAGCGGGATGGGCATGGCGACGCAGGGAGGAAATGGCGCAACGAGCATCGAGACGTGCAGGATGGGACAAGCGGATCAGTACACGCGGATGGGACAAGCAGATAGGGTTACTGGGCGAACGGCGTATGGAAGGGAGACGTCCATTCGTCCGGACGTCTTAATTGTATCATTATCACTTTAAAAAAAGAACGTGGATACAACTCTGCATTCTCAGTCTGAAACAGCAAATGGGTGCAACGGCCATTTAACAGGATACTTCTCATCAGGATAGACAGACAGATAAAAACACGCTGTATTTCAAGAGCCATTTGCAATGTTTTTTGTCGTTATTCACTAATAACAAGGCAGCTAGAGCCCACGGGCTTGGAATTTGATGACACTTGAAAGTCAGGCAGAGCCCATATTACATACAAAAGAATCAAGGGTAACAAGCTACAGTTCTGAGTATCCACACCCGCACTTCGTTTTCGTTCGTTCTAGCACGATCGCAATGGCAAAAGCCGCGCGCTTTGCCACTATGCTCTTCAGGGAGGGATTCCTTCGTCGAGCAGCCGATCGCCAAACAGCGGTATCATACAAGGTATTCTTAAACCTTTTCAGATATTTTAAACATAATAAACAAAGTTACACAGGTTGTGACATGTTACTTTTTACCACCACTTGTAACCCCTACTACAACGTTGCTCACCTGCATACACAAACAAAATAAAATTACCAACCTTCACTTTACTGGGGCAAAGCAAATGCACAGGTGTGAGCAAACAGCATAACATGCTTACCAATTTTCCCTTGTCATCTACTGTCATTGGGTTTTCAACAACAACAGTTACATTCTGCGATTGGTTCCTTGGCTGCCCAAGTTGGACGAAAAGAATTTTGTGAGAAATCACATTAAACTTACATGAATTTTGCGATAATTCGTAAAATAAACATACCACAGAAGTTGACGGGATGCTATATGAATTTCCACTTGATGCGGGTAGTGCAGGTGGCAAAGGTCTCACGGGAGTCACCTGATGTTAAAAATTTAATAAATATGTTAAAATCAGGGCGGTGTCATTAGACACTTAAGACTATTTGTAGCACAAGCAGACCCATAAAGGAAATTAACATACCCCACCAACATTTGTAATGAAGTTGCAAATAGCACATTTGACAGACGGTGCTCCATATGGATACATCAACACTGTTTGGCACTGGCCACAGTTCACATGAGCTATGCTACTCACTGCAGAATGAACAAAAATGGAGTGAGAAGACAAATTAATAATATAAATGATATCTTCATACAACCTGTGTGCATGCATAAATCGAACTTCAATTATGATGGTGACACACACATCAAAACACAGAGTAGGAAACGCTATTAATCTGCTTGTTGCCTTTACATTTCCCATGATTGAATTGCTTTATGTAGTTACTCAGGGAAACAGATTCTTTCGAGATGATGCGCTCACCCCCATCCCCCAGCAGGATGAGGAAGTGCCCAACTCAGAAGCTGGGAGAGCATAATGCACTGAATTGCATTAGTGCTAGCTGTTCACTGGTGGCAAGTGTAGTCCAATCTATTGACAGACTGCCTATGTGCTGTTCAACATGCAAGAAGCTTTATCCTGATTTATGTACACTAGGGGTAGATAAACCACTAGCACAATAAAGTATCCATTATGGTGCTCGTGAACTTAATGGCAAAACAACTCTTCTGCCTGTATCGAACATGCATCCTACTCTTGAATTTTAACATGTTCATAGATGAAAAATCAAAAGCTTATGGATCTGCAAGATAAGTTTACATTTACACATACATCAGTACCTGGTCTGACAAGATTGACTGTGTCACAACATGAGCATCTTACAGTTGTTGCACTGCGAGTATATATCAATAATGTCTGGCAGCCACCACATATAAGTCGAGCCATCTCCATTGCTGCACAAGAAATTCACCATTATTTCATAAGCACACGACAAGAATTATTTGAGGTGAGAGATTCTAGAGGAGGGGAACAAAATAGAATGAACAGGGTACCATAAAGTTCAAACTGTTTTTTGGACTAACCATGCCATTACCATGTACTAACTCAAAAAATTTTGTTTGACTAGCTATAATTATTTGACATTATAAAGGACCTAATATCAAGGTCACATGACCTAGTCCCCATGTATATGATAATCAATGAAAGCTTGGTTATGAGGTTTTCCAAACAAAAATGAAGTCATATACTGCAAGTTGGATTTAAATTGACTTAAGACTAGATAATACTAATTCTATGTTAAACAACAATACGAAGATCTCTATTTCTCATACCCAACCTCCGTAAGAGCTTGGAAATCTGGTATTGCAACCGACACCGAGAATGCTACATAAATTGTAACTTCAACTCGGTGTGGTAAGTTAACAAAAAAATGTTTAACAAAATACTACAAACCAAATACAAAGCTCATGATGGTATGCGGCTTTAGAGCTATGTAGTTTGAAGGATAGCTAACAGTCTCATTTAAATTACTGGGCAGTACCATGCAAGCAAGGTGAATCAACAGTGGAAGAAACGCTAGATGGTGTGAGATAGAAGTGTTTAGGGAAAGATAAAGCAGCCCATATCAATGAAAGTATTGTCAGACTGCAGTGGATATAATTGTGTGAATGTGGATGACATGGTGCTTCTCTCAAGATTTCAACTGCACTCGCAGCTCGTAATATTTTCTACAAAAGCATTTGTATCACCTCAAATTAAATCAGTGGGTACTAGTGCCTGCAGCAGTGCAGCTATAAGCCTACAACTGATGTTTTCTCTACTTTTCCCAGAAACACAAGTTTCAATTGCATTTGCTCCCTCAAAGGGATGTTTAACAGCAACAAATCAGAGGGACATAGTTCATCGTTAGAGCAAGGAAAGTGACAAACCCAAACAGTAAAATTGTGCAGTAGCAGAAAAAGGCAGTAGAAATGAGTGTAGCAGCTGACATCCAGCAACAAGTTTATATTTCTATTGAAAAGCAAAGCATGACAAATTAGCCTGTGAAACAGATCTTGTTCAGTGGGGAAGGAACATTCCTCTTCTTTACCTTTACAAAATATAAGTTGGTGATAATATATCTGGATTAACAGAAAGACTATTTACAGATGACATCTAAAATGCAAGGACTCTATCAGCGCAACAAGTGTACAATACTATATTGTAATATTTAATGATGCGCATGAGCTTGTTATGATGCACCAACACTCAATGGTAGATATGATTGAGCAAGAAATACTTTGTAAACGGGGCCATGAGTAAGTTGCAAATTGCAAGATATCAGACATTATTAGTTATAAGGCAGAGCTCATCCCTCTTCCATTGGTCATCCAAACCTAAACTATGTGATATCAGTACCTGCACACACTTGACACTAAACACACAGCATAAAGCTGAGATAGATTGGACATTTGGACTTAATGATTGATGAAAACACTCCAGCCACCGAAACCTGATGAATTACTCATCAATCTCTAAATTTAGCATTTCCCTAGGTAGACACCAATAATGACATCCTCTCCGGGACACCCCAGACCTGGTCTGCCCCTTTAATTGTCACCTATGTATTTGCATCACCAGTCTCCTAATCCAGCATCAATAAGATTCTAAATCATGACATAAGGATATGACATTTGTTCCCCAACCTGCAATGTGTGTGCCTTTGATGTTCAATCATGAAAAAAAATAAACAAAAGCCCAGACGCGCTACCTGGAGGCGGCACATTGGTGACCGCGTGGCATACTGCGCAACACACGCTCGGAGCACCTCTTGGGTAGAGCAGAACGGTCCTGCACCCGTGGCACACGATCTGGCTCTGCATGCCTGCAAAAAGTTCCAGCCAAAGCCACTGCGGATGAGCACATAAGCATATACACAATCAAAGCAATCCCATCACTGTCCCATCCCAATCCCACCCTCAGTCCAATCCTATTCTTGCTGTACCAAATATCAGTTGCATCCCACATCAACCAGACATCAACGATTAACGTCTCAATGAGCTTGGGGCCATCGAAAAAAAAGCCCCCTCCAGCTTCTTCTAATCCCAAATCCCGCACACGCCATCCGATTCTCCCACACCGATCGCCCTCACCAGCGCGATTAGATCTCGCTACAGAGCGTCGTACCATCCCCATACCTCCAGCAAGACATCGGAACATCGAAAGGCGCCGGATTTACTGCGTGCGTACCTCAAGAACCGCGGGGGGAGGAGACGGCAACAAACCCCTGCAAGAACCAACGGGATGAACCAAAAAAACAAAAGGACGCTGCGAGCGGGGGGGAGCGAGACCGCGAGAGGCACCGGTAGCGGCGGCGAGAGGCAGGCGCCACCGATCTAGGACGTGCCCCTCGAGGACGGGTCTCGCGGGTGCGGCAGGCAGGCGGGTGGTAAGCGCGCGGGTGGTTATTAGGTCAGGTCAACACGGCCGGAAGCGACGAGAGGTTGGGGACGACCCGCAGGAAGCGTGCACGTGCCCGAGTACGTGTCCCCGCGGAGAACACGTAAACCCCACGCGCGCCCGCTTTCCGCGGGGACGATCGAGCGACCGAGGAGGCCTGCAGTGGGAACGGACGGCTGGGATTTTGACACGTCAGCCTAGAAGCGTTCGTCCCGGCACAGCACCGACCTGGGGTCGGAGAAGATGAGCGCTCTGTAGGCTGTAGCCTCTTTGCAAGTCGTCTTCTTTCTCCGACGAGAATTTTCCACGCACCCAAAAAAAAAAGGAAAAGAAAACCGGGGGTGAAACCCTAACCCTAGAGGAGGGAAGGGGAGAGGAGAGCCGCCGCGATGGCGGAGGAGGCGGAGGGGATGGACCGGTTCGACATGGAGGGGGACTTCGAGGGCGGGCGGTTCGGCCGCGACGGGGAGTTCTACTACCGGAGCCGGCGGGAGCGGGCGCCGCAGACCCGCGACGACGCCATCTACGGGGTCTTCGCGGAGGGCGACTCCGACTACGACTCGGAGGACGACGAAGAGTCCCGCCGCCGCCGCAGGAAGCGCCGCAAGGACGGCGGCGGCGGGGAGGCCGACCTCACCAAGCCCGTCCAGTTCGTCTCCACCGGCAAGTTCATGCCCACCCAGGAGCCCGAGCCTGAGGAGAGGCCGGGGCTCGGGCGCTCCGACGCCACCACTGATAAGGCGGAGGTGGCGGAGGCGGAGGAGGAGCAAGACGACGAGGGGGACACCGAGATGCTGCCGGCGATGTTCGGCAAGATCTGGGACGGCGCGCGCGCGAGGCGGGAGGAGAAGGAGCGGGAGCGCGATGCGGCGGCGCGCCGGCGACAGGCGGCGGGTCTCGGGGCGGGGGAGCCGGCCGCGGCTCCTGGGAGCCTGGAGTCGAACTCCAAGGTGGCCAAGATGATGTTGATGATGGGGTACAAGAAAGGCATGGGCCTTGGCAAGAATCAGCAGGGGATCACCGCACCGGTGGAGTCCATTCTGCGACCCAAGAATGCAGGCCTGGGGAGCGTCGAGGGGTTCAAGGAGCCCAAGACCCTGTTGCCTAAGGAGAACGTGCCGGCCCCACCACCTCCACCGGCATCAGCGTTGAAGGAGAAGCGTTGGTACAAGAAGGCTACCACAAAGAAGGCTCCAATCTTGACGAAGAATGAGCTCCTGGCCATGCGTGCTGAGCAGGAACAGGAGGAACAGCCTGCTATTGTCCAGAAGGTGATCGACATGCGAGGGCCGCAGGCGCGGGTGCTGACAGATTTGAAGGGGCTCAATGAAGAACAAGAGATGGAGGCGAATGATGTGCCCATGCCAGAGCTGCAGTACAATGTGCGCCTGCTTGTTGATGAGGCTAGAGCTGATATTGTGAGGTTGGATGCACAGCTGCGGCGGGAGCAGGAGAAGGTGGCTAGCTTGGTGCGGGAGAAGGAAAAGGTTGCTAAGCAAGAGGCATCGCAGAAACGCCAGCTGCTGGTGATGGAGAGAATTGCAGAGACACTGGAGAAGGTCCGGGAGGATGATACATCCGGCATGCTCACTCTGGATGGGTTGATTCAGACATTCCACGGGTTGAAGGTGCAGTTTGAGGAGGAGTTCAAGATGTGTAGCATTGCATGGATTGCTTGCCGATATGCTCATCCATTGCTAATCCGTGTCTTCCAGGGGTGGCAGCCCCTGCAGAATCCAAAGTTTGGGTTAGAAGTCATGAGAAAATGGAAGGACCTGCTGCAGGGGGACCAACCATATGACTTCTCAGATAGTGCTGCATCAATGACGCCATATGTGCAGCTTGTTAGTGAAGTCATCCTACCGGCTGTGAGGATATCAGGAATCAATTCGTGGGAGGCTAGGGAACCGGAACCAATGCTCCACTTTCTTGAGTTATGGGATAATAAGAAGTTGCTGCCTCCTGTTTTGCTTCAATCAATACTGGAGCATGTAATCATGCCAAAGCTCTCAGCTGCCGTGGATTCATGGGATCCTCGCAGGGAAAGTGTACCAATCCATGTCTGGGTGCACCCATGGCTGCCAATGCTAAGGGAAAGGATAGAGACCTTGTGCCATTCTATTCAATACAAGTTGAGCACTGTCCTCCATGTATGGCATGCGCATGATGCTTCAGCATATGCAGTGTTGTCTCCGTGGAAAGACGTGTTTGATTCGGCAAGCTGGGAAGACCTGATTGTGCGGTATATCATTCCTAAACTGAGATTGGCACTGCAAGACTTTCAGATCAACCCAGCAAACCAGAAGCTCGATCAGTTTAACTGGGTGATGTTGTGGGCATCTGCAATCCCAGTACACCTCATGGTCCATATGTTGGAAGTTGATTTCTTCAGCAAGTGGCAGCAGGTCCTGTACCATTGGTTGTGCTCACCAAATCCCGATTTCAATGAGATAATGAACTGGTATAAGGGATGGAAGGGCCTTTTCCCACCAGAGTTACTTGCCAATGAGCGCATACGGATTCTGCTAACTGCTGGTCTTGACATGATGAACCAAGCTGCTGAAGGACTTGAGGTAGTGCAGCCTGGGGCTAGGGAGAATGTGGGTTACTTGAGGGCAACTGAGAAGCGGCAGTTTGATGCAGCACAGCAAGCTTACCATGCTGTCCCAGGAGCAGCCATGGCGGATTTGAGCTTCAAGGAGTCTATACAGGCATATGCAATGGAGCAAGGTTTGCTATTTATGCCTAGAGTTGGCAAGTTCTACAATGGCATGCCAGTGTATGAGTTTGGCACCGTTAGTGTTTGCATAGACTCTGTGAAGCGACTACTGTATGCACAGCTTCAAGAGGGTGTTGAGAGATGGAGTGCTGTAACTCTTACACAATTGATGGACATGAACCGAATGGGAAGAGCACACTAGTTGATCGCGTAGTCTTGGAGTTGCATGGCATTTTTAGTTTCTTCCCTGTTGTGTAAAACTCTTCAGAGGTGTCAACCATTAGCTTTTTTGAACAATAACTCTGTTGAAGAAGAAAGGGGTTGGATCTATATCTAAATGTGCTGGATAATGCTGTACGTCTCATTGCGCTGCCGGTATTTACGGTTACGGTGCTGCTGTCAATATGATGTGTCTCTTTAGTAAATTCTATCCGGAAGCTCTGTTGTAACTGCTGAAGGACTTATGTCTTATGCTTATGCAGTTGCTGGCAGATCCTAATTACTCTGAGCACTTCTGGTTGTGCACTATAATGTGTTTGTCTTCTAGTACGCTTTTGTCGCTATAAATTCTTTCTGTATTTGTTCACTCAATTGAATCTCCTCCCTCTAAGATTGCTTGAGTGTTGGCTTTTCCTCCAAGTCATAAGTCTGATAGAATGCCATGTGCGTGGACAGTGATGGTTATAATTTTTATTCTTTATGAACTTATTATTTCATATACTTTGTTCAACTGTTGCTTCAACATAGTTGACCTACCATACTCCAGGAGAGTTGCTGTGGATGGCTTTTGCTAAATTTTTATACTGGAAGGTGTAAATAATAGTAGTGACATTTATTCTAAAGATCTATTGTTTGCTTGTGGAACAAAATTTCTGGAGTGTTAGATTGTTAAAGTGTCGTGTTAGTGTGGCCTGTGGTCCTGAATGGTCGTGATTCTGTCATTACCATGAGGATCTTCATTTTGTTGGCTCTTGTTATTTTAAATTAAAGCAGATATAAACACCACTAGTTTCATGCCAATATAATTGAGCTATCTTGCTTAACTGTTTTTTATTTTCTTTCTTAGGCCTGCAGGCTGAAGGTTACTCCATTACTTGAACTAGTACTGCCTATCGACCTGCTGTTTATTATGCTGTTCGACAACCTCCCCCCCCCACACACACACACACACACACACACACAAAGTGCAAGATAAGCTATCTTCATCTTTTTAAACCCAATCATGTGTATCTAAATCTGGGAAATGACTGAGCATTGGTACTACTGCTCCTTAAATTCTCGAGTGACCTGTAATTTCTGGATTTGTTTCTTCATCATGTTTGCTTTGATGTTGGCATGTTTACAGTTTGATCAGCTATTCATGATTCATTTTTATACTCTCTTAATCTCATTATGATGCATATCTATAGGTTAGACAACTACAGATTTAGTTCATCTGACTTACGATGCCGATGTCGACTTTGTGTACCTCATTGTTCTGAACCATTTGAAATTCTAATCAATGTTATTTTTAACTGACAGTTGTATAGCCAAAACCGCTATTCTCAATAATCAAATTAGTAGGATGATAAATATACAAACTGACATTCTTACAATGTACTAAAACACAAATAAAAATAATTCATGCTGCTTCCATTGTACAGCCCATTTTTTTCGCAGGCATCTGATCCTTTAACTAGTTCTATCAGGGGCTCTCTACAACAGTGCTACAAGCTAATGCAAGTGTGGACACCAGTGAGCTGCTCAGTGCAGGAGACATCGATGGGCATAAACTGAACTGAACCTGCTCTACTGTCCTGACTCTGAGGTCCATAACGTCTGTGATCAAGCCAGGCCTCATGATCTTGTCACTTACAGCACACGCACCCTTCAGCATCTTGGCGACCAAAAGACCTATTTTCAGCAACTGGCGTGCTTCCTCGGTGAGTGTCCAGACCTGACAGAATAGCAGAAATTTCAGATGATTTAAATCAAAGTCTAAGATCTGATAGCACTAGCACTTCAGGCATTTTGAAGCTAGCAATTTTGAAGGTCTGATCATTTGCTCTACTTTTACAAATAAGTTAATCTCTCATAACTAATCAAATTTTTAATGAATCAACTGTATTCATAAGAATTGGATCAATACCTAGAAACTAGGAACACAACAGACCAATCAATGCAAGTAGCTCTTACTGCATAAATAAAAGCAACATGAAAAGGATACCTTCCTTGAACTTTCCTTTGGAATTCTACCAACTCTAGCAAGTAGATTGTGCTTGTTCTTGTCTTTTTTTTCGATTAGTGCTTGTGCTTGTCTAATATGTGTTAATATAAATAAATTGATCAATCATGCAAACAGCACCTCAATTAGGTAATCTGAACAATGTCATGTCATCTATGTACTATAGTGCTTTTCTGCTTTGACATAAAAAATGCTTCTTCCTGTAGTTTGCTGTCTAAACTTGCTAGACAACCATATTCAAATAACTAACAATACAGTATGAGAACCATTATTGGGATTGTTCTTCACCTTTTCTAGGAGGAACTGCTCGTCAAAAGGTAATCTGGGATCAGTGTGACATCTGCCACTAACAATCTCCAGCAGCAGTACACCAAAGCTGTAGACATTGGCCTTTTTGGTCAGCTGCCCTTAGATGGCATACTCGGGCGCAAGGTATCCTCTGAAAGAAGAATACAAGTCAACTCTGTTTTCCTATACATGAGAATCAACAGGTAGTGCGCCACTGCTTACAGCGTCCCTGCAACCCTGGTGCTGATATGTGTCTTGTTGCCTGGGAAGAAGTTTGCCAGCCCAAAGTCTTCTATCTTGGGTCTCAGGTTTCTGTCAAGGAGAATATTGCTCGCTTTGATGTCACGGTGGACGATTGGTGGACGGACTTCTTCGTGAAGGTAGGTGAGCCCATCAGCAACACCAATGCAGATCTTCACCCTTGTTCTCCAGTCAAATCTGATGCCACTGCAGGAAAAAAAGGACGCGCTGGTTGAAATATTGCTGTGGTTGAAGCTACTCCAGTATGAAGAACATTGCCACGTTGTAGCAATTCAGCAACGGGGGCCTCACTTGCAACAAGAGTTTTTTTTTCTCGATTCAGTAAAGGGCGTGCTTGTAAAATCTAACTAACCAAGCCATGTAATTCGGCATGTATTCGGACCTTTTTTATCAAACTTTAATAAAATGATGCGCGGCTCTCTGTGTTCGAGAAAAAAACAATAGTTGTTATTTTTTCCTCGATTCCTAAAATTGCAGCAAATTCTTCTGAGATTCATGTGTTCCCGACAGGAACATACTTGGGCACATAATGACATCTTACAGGAATCAGAGTACCTGATGTCTGAACTAGGCTACCTCAGAGAGATTAGAGCAACCTGTATCTGGACACCTCAACCTACCAGGCCAGGTAGACACGGCCGAAAGAACCCTGTCCGAGCTTGTTTTCTGGGCAGAAATTTCTTGTGGCTTTTCTCATCTCCTTGGACGAGTAGATTTTCACATTGCCCGTGATTGGGATGTCTGCGAACAGAATCGAATGAACTACAGTAAGGTTCGATTGAAAGGAAAAGTTTACCTTGGTCATGTTGCACAATCTGGCTTCCGAGGAATTCTTCTTCCTCCAGAAAACAGGGAAGCAACCCATTACTATTGATTCGAGCTCTCTTCTTTGGAATTCAGATCTTCAGATATGGAAAAGAGATGCTGGTATCTACCTGAGGAAGAAACTAGTCAGTGGACTTGAAGAGACCAATCACCAGAAGTCAAAACTGTTAGTTTTAGCAACCTTACTCTTTCTGCGAGAGCAATGAAAATAAAGAGTAGTTAATCGCACCCAAGTTTGCAGATTCATACAAAGCTCCTCGGAAGAATGAGCTAAAAGTGCTTCAAATGCATGTCGTAGATCAAGGTCAAGAAGCTATATGGCTACAAGTGGTGCTATAAATCTAGAGGGCCCATATGCAAATATACTAGTATAGTCGTATAGATAATCCTCATATTTGTTTCAAAGGAAAACAAAAGAATTCTGGTCTGCTTTATGTCATAAAAAATACCTGCAGAAACCAATAGTGCTTTTTTTTTTATAAACAAGAAACCAATAGTGTTGTACTACTACCTTGACTCATTAAGTTCACAATTCAAATAATCAACTGAGAATTCAGACAAAGTATGTTATACTAACTTATAAGCAGCACTGCGCCAGATATGGTTCGCGGCGGCGGCGGCGGCAGCGAAGGGTTACTCTGCACGCCGTTCTCGAGAACGTCATAGCAGAGAACTTCTGCAGCCGGTGCCACACTGCCGAAAGCAATGCTCGGACCGGACGGACGGCCGGCCGGCATAATTTGGGAGCGAGGGGAGCTAGCTAAACTCAGGGATGGAAAGTTTCTTAGCGTTAACTAAAATGGCATCTTCATGAATTACCCGTCCTAAGAAAGTCCAAGATCCACGAGAGATTGGAGTTCCAAATTTGTTAACTAAAATGGCATCCGCATGGATTACTTACTCATCTAGGAAAGAGTCCGAGATGCCGAGGAATTGGAGTTCCAAATTAGGCGGCCGCGACTGCGAGCGGCTGGCCCCCCCTATGCCCCTATGCCCCGGGTCCTAAGTCTTGGTCCCCAATCCATTCATTGCGTTGCGATCCTCCATTCATTGCGAGAGATCATTAGAGGATCCCGTCCAATACATCGAAGCGAAGAGGAGGAGGAGGGGGACGGGGGATTGTGAGCGTGTGCTGATGGCGGCGGCGGCGGCCCCAGCGACGGGGAGCAGCAGCAATGTGGAGTTCATCCGTGCGCGCAGCGACGAGCGGGAGTACCGCCGCGTGGTGCTCGCCAACGCGCTCGAGGTCCTAGTAATCAGCGACCCCGACACCGACAAGGTCCGTCCCCGGCCGCTGTTCGCCTGCTCTGCTCCTCTCTCGCGGAGCGCCGCCATAGCGAGGAATGCTCCTTCGTGCGCTGAAGGCTTAGCGATTGATTTGGTTTCCTAACCTCTCTCTCTCTCTCTCTATGCTTGCTTCTCGCTCTGCTCAGGCGGCGGCGTGCATGGAGGTGGAGGTGGGCTCGTTCAGCGACCCGGAGGGACTCGCGCACTTCCTTGGTGAGAGAGTTCACTCCTTCACTCGCCCTCGCTCATCTCGCTTTGCTCGTTTCCAACGCTTCGATTTGATTTCTCCTTCGATTCGTTGCGCGCTCGTGCTGATC